TCTAATGGGTCTTTGGGAGGTAATTGGCAGCAGGCGGTCTCTCAAGTATCCAGGTCCAATACCATGAAGGACTTTATAAGTGACTACTTATAAAGGAATATGGAGTAGCTGTGCAATGCTTTTTAATAGTAATGGGACTTTGCTCTTGATAAGTCTCCGTCTCATAATCATAACTTGTTCACATTTGGTTTTGCTTTTCACATAGATCTTTTGGAGTGAAGATTTAATGTGTTGTATGTGGATCCAGGCACTAGAGATGGTATTGAAATTTTAGAAAAATGCAGTTTTACTCTGGTGTAAAACAAATGTTTTTAATTGGTACATTCTCTGGGGTGAATGGGAGACAAGGATCTATTACTCTGTCAGGCAAAGATTATTTCGAGATCACATTCTTTGTTGATCATGGGGAAGCTGTGACAATAGAAAACACGGGAGTGCAAAGACTCCAGAATACAGTCAAATGTTAAGGGGAAAAATGGCTAAGTACTGAAGTTTTTACCAACCTGGCATCACTGCTAACGTTTATATCTACTTTAGCCATGCCGAGCATATATTAAAAATATGTTTTGGTTTCACATTGCTCTAACTTCAGATAAACCAAAGGCATTTTTCTCTTAGTGACTGTTTCAAATTATGATGGACCTCCCCGGGGCTACTTACAACCCAGATTCAAAATTCCAATGACCATCTCCCCACCCGCACCCTGTAGGGTCATGTGATCACATTTTGGGTGCTCAGTAACCAGCCCTCATCTACATCAGTTTGCAGTGTCCCGTGGTCACATGACTGCAATTTAATACATTTTTTTGCCAGAAACCAGCGTTTACTTTCGATTTTCCACCCATTGGGGAAAACAGACTCACTTAACCATGATAATTCACTTAACAACTGCTGCAAAAAAGGCTTTAAAATTGGGCATGGTCACCAGGTGACCCACATAACAACCAGCATGATTTGCAACCATAATTCCAGACTGAATTACGGTCATAAATCAAGGGCTACTTGCATAAGCTCTAAGTAACCCTAAGTCAAACTATTTTTACATCATGGCTATAAGGCAGCTTTGCCATCTTCAGGTCCCTCATATACAATTGGATCCCAATTTCAATGGTGCTGCTGGCTATGACTTTGGGGAATTGTGCTTTTGACATCTGAGTGAACCAGATAGAAGAATGTTGAAGTTAGACATAAATTATTTCTGGCTGGATGGTTTTAGATCCTTGGTCTATTTATTAGTTCTACGGAGAGACCAAAAATAATGAACTGATACTTGAAGCAATCACATGAAATGGTACCTAAATAATGCTGCTAGGTAAATAATTAGTCATGATAAGACCATCTTGAAAGGAAATGGGTGGAACGCCAAAGAAATGAAAAAAGAAATGGGTTTATTTGCTAGAACTGGTGAAGGAAGAAATTGCCGAGAAGTTTTCTTTCATCTTTTATTGACATTTGCAACTGGTAAATTTCAGGCTGAGGGAAAGGGGTTTCTTGGTTAAAAGGTGAGTCAACCATGTGACATGAGTAAGAGTATACAAAGATTCACACGCTGCTCTGTAAGTTTGCTTCTTAGTTTCTGTTCATCATTCTCTTAGTTTCAATTCATCAGTCATCAGTTCCAACCCCATGGACACTGCAAGATTCACTACCCCATCTCCAGTAGATGAAAACCTCCAGGGAAGGTGAAGAAACCACTCTCTGTAATGCATAACCCGTTCAATTGACCAGCAGCTCATATGCTCAGGTTCTTCCTAATGTCTAATCTGTATCTACATTCTTGAAGTTTCATCCCATTAGCTTTGTTTTATCCTCCGGAGCAAGGGAGAATAGTCCCTACAGTGTGACAACCCTTCAGATATTTAAAGATAGCTATCATGCCCCTTCTCAATCTTTCCTTCTCCAACCTAAACATGCCTAGTTCTTTTAACCATTCTTTATAGGATTAATTTGTTTTCCAGATCTTTCACCATCCTGGTAGTTCTTCTCTAGACTTGCTTCTGTTTATCAATTGCAGGACTCAGCACAATACTCTGAGGCTTGACCAAGGCAGAGTAGAAAAGGACAATTACTTCCTGTGATCTGGACTCTACACTCCTCTTGATGGTCTTCAAGAGGTTGTTGACCTTCTTTTCAGCTGCATTACACTATTGGAATAGGTTGAACTTATGATTCAATAGTACATCTAAGTACCTCTTACATGTGCCACTCTTGAACCANGTGACTTGGTCATCAGTTTTCCCTGTTGCTGTCACGACATCTTCTTGTTTGAGCTTCCAGGAATGAAAGATGGCATATGTAGCTCTGGTATCCTTCATTGGGTTAGACCATGGATGGGAAACTATGGCACTTTTATGACTTGTGGACTTCCAAGTCCCAGAATTCCTGAGCCAGCTCTCAGCTCATGAATATTGAGAGTTGAAGTGCACAAGTCATAAAGGGGCCATAATTCCCCACCTCTGCATTTGACTATTGGGGTCTTTCACACAGCTTAGTCATAGCCCTGTTTGTATGATGCCCTGAGCAAGTAACCTCTGCTAGTGAGGAAGCATGTGTCCCAATTTGCACCCCCTTAAAAAAAAACAGCTCACTATGTTCTTCACTCACCATAGGGTTGCCTGGTGCCTACCTTCAAATCATGGCCTTCCAGATCAAAGAAAGCCAAGGCACAACCATTGAGAATCCAGACGGTCCCATCCATCAAAAATCTGAGCTTGAAAAAATTAAAAAGCTGGCATGTGGGGTTTAAACTACACCTCCACCCTCCCACTGCCGCTTGTGGCTTCCTTCTCGGCATGTTTTGTGAGCAAAGCCAACATAAGCCATCATTTGATAGTGCTAGGATTGCCAAATCTGCCAGACATTGAGAAGGGGCAACCATCAAGCAGGAGTCAGGGAATTCTTTCAGAGCATCCGTAGTGGCAAAGAAATGGTTGTGGCAAATGGTAGAGGATTTCTAAGGAGGTGGTTACCCAGTTCTATTAACCTGGTTTTTCTCCAGCCTCCTGCCAATGCTAAGTGGGGTATCCCTGTCAGGCTTCCTGATACCGTTGTACATTCTTCTGTCTGTTGTTGTGTTCAGTTTATATTATGGTACCCGCGAGACCACCTATTGCCACCAGTAGCTTCCCACCGTCCAGTGCGGTCCCACGGAGTTGGCCTCTTCAGAGTGCCGTTGGCCAGATAGTGTCGGCTAGCGACCCCCAGGGGGAGAGCCTTCTCTGTGGGAGCGCCTTCCCTCTGGAATGAGCTGCCCCCGGAGCTTCGNGGGGTGGAGAGCAGATTGCGCGATTGGGTCAGCAGGGAGCCGCTCTTTCCCCCCTCCTTGCCTCTGTTCCGGCTCCTACGTTTCCCCCCCCCCTCTCTGTCTCTCTCTCTCTGATCTTTGGCGCTGGGCCGCCTTCGGCGAGAGGAGCAGCAGAAGCCCCTCCCCTACTGGTGCAAGGTTCCGTTCTTTCCTCCTCCAGCTGCTTGCGCGGTGATCCCACCTCGCAGACTTCCAACCAGTAACCCCCTCCTCCCAAAGCAGCACACCTGGGAAACAGCTAAGCCTTCTGGTTTGATTGTCTACGAATTGCTGGTTCAGTTCCCCTGAGCAATGAAGCCTCTCCCTTCCCATTCTCCCGCCGTTCCCTAGCTTGTCGTGCATTCTTTCAAAAAATCAGGACTTTTTTAAAATGCCGCGGGACGCATGACAAATTATTAAAAATCGGGACTGTCCCGCCAAAAGCGGGACGTCTGGTCACCTTAGCTATTACTGGTCTAGTGATTAAAGCAGCAAGTTAGAAAGCATAAGACAATGAGTTCAAATTCTGCTTTAGCCATGAAAGCCAGCTGGGTGACTTTGGGCCAGTCACTCTCTCAGCCCAACCCATTTCACAAGGTTGTTGTTGTTGTGGGGCAAATAAGAGGAGGAAGGTCTATTGGATATGTTCGCTGCCTTGAGTTATTTGTGAAAATAATGAAGGCGGGATACAAATAAATGAATGAATAAATAAAAGCTGCCTATTTCTTGTCAGCTTGACAACTCTTTCACTTTCTGCTTCCAGTTCTAGTGAATTTCTTACAAATGACTTCAAAGAGCTTAGCTTTACAGGAGGCCAAAATTTAACTCTGCTTGGATCATTTAAAAAAACTGCATTGTATTAGGTTCACTGAGCTTATCCCAATGTTGACTGTCACTAATTTAGACTGGGGTTTTTGTTTTTTTTTTGTTTTTTTTTTGCTGCACTCTCCAGGATGATAGAACAAGTTCAGATGTACCCCCCCAAGGAAGTTTTCTTTCGAGTGGCTGCAGAGATGTTCTCGGACGGTGCTTTTAACTGGGGCCGTGTGGTGGCGTTGTTTTATTTTGCATGCAAGTTGGTCCTAAAAGTAAGTATGTCATTTCTAAAGGTAAATGTTCCCCTCGCACACTTA